GTTATTTAAAATGTTTTAAATGTAACAATGGTAATTTGATGGTAACATAAAATGATGGTCATTTGAATGATAATTCGTTTTTTTTTCTTTTTCTGTCGTGTAATCAACTAGTTTTCAGTGTCGACTAGTAGGAGCTGTACCGTTTAGTCGACTAGACCCGCACATCCCTAATATATATATATATATATAAATACAACACTGGATTATACTATGCAAACACTAAGGAAAAGAGCAGTCTGGACATACATGTTCATGTCATCCATGACAAAACGCATGAGCTGTAATAAAGCTGGAGGGAAATTAAGTATTTGTGCAGCCATTGATCTCTGTCAAGTTATAGAAAATCTACACAACATATGGGACTTGCCAGGGGTTATGTAAAATGAATTATAGAGCAAGAAAAAAAGATGAAAATCGATATGTGATCCATTAAGGAGTTAAGTGCTGTGTTCTGACAGGTGGCTCTGTCCCAGGCTGCTCACGTCAATGATGGAAAACCATCCGGGCGTAAATAATGTAGGAATGAATCAGCCAGAGATTAATCCTCTCATCGTTCAGGAGAGGAAACCCAGCGCTGGACTAAATCACAGCAAACAACACCAGCTTCTGAAGTCGTCTATGAATGCGGCCGTCCGCTTGGCCTGTGCGTTATGTTATATGCATGCGTATATGCGAAAGGGTAATGAGAAATGGCCACGTTGCCTGGCAGAAGTAGAAACTATATTGATCTGAAGCCTCCCAAGAAAACCTAAACATGTCTACTCTATGCAGATGACGTAGCCATCATCCTCCAGTGATGATTTAGTCATGCGGTGTTCGTGGAATCCAATAATAGGTTTGGTCTCCAAAAGATTACATTTTCCAAAGCCCAGTGAGAATTTAAAGTAGGGGTCGACCGATTATCGGCCTGGCCGATTATCGACGCCGATATTAAGCATTTTTATGATTATCGGTATCGGTCATTTTCAAAACCGATTCGCCGATAAAATAACTTAATTTTGCACAACAATTAATGGAACATTGACCACTGTATAGGCCTATCATGTATGAGGTCTATGCAATGTATTAAAAAAATTATATACATATTTTATATATATATTTGGTGGTCACACCAGATACTGACTGGTTTTCGGACCCCCCCCGGACCCCCCAATACAGTAAAACTGCACATTTTAGAGTGGCCTTTTCTTGTGGCCAGCCTAAGGCACACCTGTGCAATTATCATGCTGTCTAATCAGCATCTTGATGTGCCACACCTGTGAGGTGGATGGATTATCTCGGCAAAGGAGAAGTGCTCACTAACACAGATTTAGACAGATGTGTGAACAATATTTGAGAGAAATAGGCTTTTTGTGTACATAGAAAAAGTCTTAGATCTTTGAGTTCAGCTCATGAAAAATGGGGGCAAAAACAAAAGTGAGGCGTTCATAATTTTGTTCAGTGTATATACACTATATACAGTATATATATACAGTGGTGTGAAAAAGTGTTGGCCCCCTTCCTGATTTCTTATTTTTTTGCATGTTTGTCACACTTTAATGTTTCAGATCATCAAACAAATTATTTTGAGATAGAGTGGCAAAGAGTTTCAGACTTTCTATTTATTTTCTTAATGTACTTGAAACAAGGACGGCTTACCTTTTTTTTTTTTTACTTACTGTGGGAGTACTACACTCAACCAACACCAGGGAAGGCAGTTTTTGTCAGAGCCCTTGTTATTCTTAATTTTGACATTAATTATAATTTTTACACCAGACATATATATCGGTTCAAAATATCGGTTATTGGTCTACTTGATCTGTAATAATCGGTATCGGCATCGGCCTTGAAAAACACATATCGGTCGACCCCTAATTTAAAGCCAGACACATTTACCAAGATCTCACGCTGTGGTTTAACAATGTGAGCGGCTACCTGAAGGCTATCTCCTATAATCAACATTTCTCAGTTCAGGGCACACATTATTATGAAGGTAGGCAGGAGGGCGTCTCATTATCCTGAGTGTGTGAGATTACTACACTGAAGGACTTTCATCAGCGCTGTGCTTGAGTCCTGGACTCTGTGCTGCCCACTTTGTATTCAACCATGTCGTGCCTCCCCCGTCAATACACGGTGATGAAACTAGCTTGCGTCTTGCTGAGAGAACAATAATGTAGTGTTCAAAGATTTATATCGCTGTTAGACTATTCTCAACAAGGGAGATAGCGGAGACCTCCACTGTTATCTGAAACGGTGTTTGACAACCAGCGTTTGGTTTCGTCCCACACCCATCTTGTGTAACCCGTCATACAGAATCTCAGTGTGGGTTGACATATAGAGGTCATCATGTTTCATTAAAAGCTTTGGATTGGGCTGGGCGGTATGATGCTATAATGTGTCAACTGTAGAGATTGTGCTATAGGGTTTGTATGGCGTTCAATAGGCATGAATGCTTTATGTGAGAGCATTAGTGAAATACATTATTCTAGACTTATTCTTTTGTTATAAATTATTTGGCTACACTGTATTTTAAGTGTCCTTGCGACAGTGCAATTGTACATTTAAGTACCTTGAAATAAAGTGTTACCAATAATTTTATCTTGAATAAAAAGTTTCAAATAAAGTTTGAACAATGACTAATTAAATGAATTTAAAATAATTAAATTTATTTTAATACAAATTTAATGAAATTCTAAATGTAGCCTAATAAAATGTCCAATAATTTCCCAAATTAATTTATTTAATTATTCAGCAATATGAACTAATGCATGTTTATTTAATATATAATATACATAGTCTTCAGTGTCACATGATCCTTCTGAAAACATTCTAATATGCTGATTTTGTGCTCAAGAAACATTACTTATTATAAATATTAAAAACTGTTGTGCTGCTTAATATTTTTGCGGAAACCATCATTTTTTATTTATCTTTTTTTTGCAGAATTATTTGGTGAATAGAAGGTTCAAAAGAAGAGCATCAATATAAAACAGAAATCTTATGTAACATTATAAATGTCTTCACTGTCACTTTTGATCAATTTAATGCATCTTTGCTGAATAAAAGAATTGTAACAAAAAAAAATTATATATCTTACTCATATATTCTCCTATTCAAGACCATTAATAAAACATGAAATACAAGTCAACTTTTTAACATCGTACAAGCTCAAGCTTGTTGAGTCATTCCTCCAGGAAAAACAACACGTTACCCATAGGAACTCATCTTTCTTCTGCAGCACTACTAGCACAGCTATTCTGTGCTAGTAGGAGGAAGAGATGTCTGTTCTGCTGAAGGGTCTGCCTTACATCAACACAACCGCACAAGCACAGGCTCGATGAAGCTCACACAGTGAGCCGTTCCCTCTCCGGACAAAGCTCTGTTCCGCACAGCACAAATGAAAGCTTACACGATCACCGAGAGCACATTTGCTGCAGGACACAACGAGAAAGCCCTGAGTATCAGCGGAAAATGCCACTCTTCTGATTTGAATCAGATCCTTCACATTCTGCCAGATGCTGCTGGGAAAATCTAATTTACAGGAGGGGAGATCGGAAATATGAGCAAAGTTCTGCATTAGCCTGATTCAATGAAGCCTTGGAAATGGGCTTTGTGTGTGCGCTTCAGGTCACGCTTGAGAGTCCAACATCTTTTTTTGGTTTCAAAAAGGCTTTCAATTTAGCAGAGTGGGCACAGAGCTTCCTGGATGTGCCGGGATCTCAAAACGAGCTCTAAGTGGGATGGCGTGTGTGTGTGTGTGTGTGTTTGTTTGACTTGGCTCAACGTCTGGGCAAACAGCCGGACCACCGGGACAAGACAGACCTGAGGCCCCTATGGCTCTCCTGAGAGGCCCATTGTGTGCTGCCAGCTATAAATGTCACTGATTTCCAACAGTTTCACACAGAGATTCAAGGAAACTGTCTTTAAACGCGCCGAGAACAAATGCCAGCTACAAGCTTCCAGCTTCCTTCAGGCAGCATGTCAATTATAGCCAGCTTGCATATCAAATCCTTTGGCCATAAGCACATATTCAGTCTGGTAAAACATGAAAAAAACATCTGTACACTCCAGGTTTACATACCTCTTTGCCTGAGAGATAATAGGCGGACAGCAGGCCTCCAACAAAACGGATGTTCACTTCAAAGACGGAGATTTCGGCATTCTGAGGGAATAAAACACAGGAAAACAAAAAGAGGTGAATATTTAAGCTCATAAAAACACAGAGACTGGCTCACCTTGAACTGCAGACTGTAACAATAGCAGGGGAAAATGTGTGAGTACTACAAACACACTTCTCCCTCACACAAATACAAAGAAAGAAAACAATACAACAGAGCTGATAAAGCTCTGCTGGGATTGAGCACGGATACAAACAAGATCCCATAGGAGGGTGAAATCTGAGTGCGGATATTTTCTGCGGATCTGGGAAACCATGGCTGCTGGGGAAAAGGGGATCCTATGGCGCATGCTACATGAACAAAAACATCACTCACAGGATACAGAGCTATAAAGAGAGGATGCTTCTGAGAGTATCTTCAAATAATAATAATAAAAAAAAATCTAATATTTCAACAGAAAACCTCTTTGATGTTATACTTAAGAATATTTACAGCACTATTACATCTGACAATATGATTTCAAATACATAGTTTTATATTAGTGCTTCTTAGACAGGTGGTACACAATCTGGAATTATAAAAAAATAATTAATAATAATAGTAATAAAATATTTTTACTTTACCTGTACAGTATATTTGAAAATATAGCCTCATCTTAATATATAAAATAATCTTTAAATATAAAATAAAATATTTAAATTATCTTATTATTATTATTATTATTATTATAAACATACAAATTATACATTTAATTAGTTATTTTAACAAATTTGAATTGTATACTCACACATTTCTCTATGTTTACCTTATGTCTCATTCCAATTTTAATATACATTCATGTATTTAAGACTCATCATCCACAGCCCATATTTACAGTGTAAATAGGCCTGTCACGATAATTAAATAACCGTCTAATCGCGATTATTTGATCTTATTTGTGCTTTTTATACGACACAAGGGGGAGTCATACACCAAAAGAAACAGAAGAGCACCAGTTTGCTTTTCATGCAATACCGACTAATAAATTACAGAACGTCAAACACTGAGGAATCAAATAAATAAATAAATAAAAGAGAGCCTCCATAACGTAATGTGAGGTAAACAGCAAAGATAAGTTTTTCAAAAATGAAAACAAAAAGAAAAGTAAAACTAACGGTGACAGTGCTTGCATATTTTTTTTCCCACAAGAATACCAGCATGTTCACTTTCTCTGGTTTAAGAAGCGGTCTTTTACTTGACTTTCGCTTGTAAACCATCCATCGTTTCCTCAATATGCGCGTCATGTTTGCTGCATGCACCTTCGCGGTCGTGCTGACGCGGCGAGTATAGCCTACTCTCTAAGCGCTGTTTTGTTATGCTTTCAGTTTCGTTTGCCGTTTGATGTTTCTCATATGCAACAGAAATGTCAGCGCTTATGAGTTGACCAACGCGGTGGTCGCGCCAGTGCAACCGCACACAAAATTTAGTCGCACAGGCAGAAAAAATGGTCGCAGTCTGGAGCCCTGCATA